TTAAGATTAAAACTCTAATTTTTAAAATCAAGGTTGATATGTATTTTTTCATATTATAATTATAAATCTTTTATTTTACATGATATTATAATGAAATAATATCTATCCATATTACTTTTTAAAGATTAAGTGAAAATTTATTTTAAAATTATGTAATTTTAATAATTTTTTATTGAAAAAAATTTAAATACTCTATTTTTAAAAACTTGAATTAAAATAATTTTGATTATTTCTCGTTATTTTTTTAAAAAAGGAAATTTAAAATGTGAAACAGATAAATATTAATCCTGTTATAATTATGGCATTGCAGATGTCATTATTGTTGAAGAATGGTTGGTGGTGATGGCTGATCCTTAGAGTTCCTCTTTATAGATCCAAATGACAAAAAGAGGCAAAAGAACTGGGCCATCGCTGACGCATATATACCCACAATGGACGGGCCACCTTCATCAGGGAATGTCCCAACTCTCAAATACTAACACTAACCTGTTTCGCACGTACAATGACATCAAAGGTAGAGCAGACACCCAGATTGCAATCATTGATTTTTTTTTATTTAATTATACAATAAGAGATAATTATTTTTTATCTTTTATCTCACTTTACTCGTATTTCATGAAACTCAAAATTATGATGTTTTACTTCTATTGAAAATCCTGCACGTGGGCTCAATACTTGCATCCAACCTAAAATTAATTGGCGATAGGTGAAGTAGCTCTCTTTGTATTTAACCCACAAACTTCTTATTTTTATACTTGATGTGGGATTTTCCCACTTAACACGCTCCCTCACGTTCAGGCCCATTATGAATGTGGGGTTCTGTTACGTGGGTTAACACGCCCCCTTAAATACAGGCTCGGTATCAACTTCGAGTCCTGTCAGGTGGGCTAACAACGGGCTTCTCATGGTAGAAGCTGAGTTCTGATACCATATTGAAAATCCTGCATATGAGCTCAATACAAGGCTTGCATCCAACCTAAAACCAATTGGCAATAGGTGGAGTAACCCTCCTTGTATTTAACCCACAAGTTTTTTATTTTTATACTCGATGTGGGATTTTCCCACTTAACAACTTCTTGTGAAAAAAAAAATCATTAAATTATTTAAATCAGTAACGATAATAATTGATTCTTAAATGTTTACAGTTATGTGATTTTCTTAGATCCCATTATCTGATCAACGATTAAGATCAAATGAATCAATGTTCAAGTTTTTTTTGGGGCACAGATGCTCATCGTTGAGCTCTACCCCAGCTTAGCATTTTCAGAACTGTATATAAAGAGACGAGAAATGAATGCTGCATTCTGTGATAAAGCCCCCCCACCGGCAATTTATGACAAGTGGGCAACACGCTCCGATGGTCTTCCCTGATTTAGTCCCTTTTCCAATTTTGCATTTTCTAAAATAACAGTGTTTAATGACATGACGCCGTTAAGCCATCCATGAATGAATCATATAAGGATGTTTATTTTGACATTTTAAAAATAAGTATTAATTATTAATTAAATATATTATATATTTTAAATTATAAATATTAATAATTATTAGTTATTAACAGTTTTTAAAAAATTAATCTAAATAGCTTAATAGTTTAATGGTATTTTTTTTTTATAAAAATAAAAGATTTTAAACTTGAGTCATAAAATATAAAAATTAAATATATTAAGATTGTTTTTTATTATATAATTTAAGATAAAAAAATTAATATGTTAAATTAAGAAAAATAAATAAATATAAAGGGAAAAAAATATAAAACATGAAGAAAATGGATTTTAATTAAAAAAATTAAAAAAGATAAAAATAATGTACTATAACGATAAAAACAAACAATTATTTAAAATACATTAACTTCTGTTGGTTTTATTGTGAAAAGAAATTTGGAATCAATGAGTACCAACCAAAAAAAAAAAAAAAATTTAAAATCAATTGAATGAGTTTGAGTTGACTTTGAGTCGACTCCAAAATTGCAATTGAAACAAAATAGTACTTGTAATATGGTAGTAATAAAATTGGACTTCAAATTGGATAAGAACTTGAAAATTGGTTCAGAAGAAACCTAGGACCGACGTTGGAATGCAATTTGCTTGACTTAAATGGTGGTGGGTGGTGGGCGGTGGGCGGTGGGGTAGAAGTACCAAGTTCAACCAAAGCAAAAACAGAAACGGTATGGTGAAATAAACAAGACCAATGATTTGTAGCCAACTTAGCCTCAAATGGACCAAATCAAATCATAGAATCTTAAGGTAGTAGTAGTATTTATCATTTTTCAACTGAAATTTCTCATGTTTTGTCCAAACCGTGTGCTCTTTATTATACCAATAACATCAATAAAAATAAAATCAATGATAATGACCATACCCACTTTTGTCTTTTACCTAATATCTTTTTCTTTTCAAATGACCTTTTGTAGACGTTGCCTTATAAAATATTGTCCTAGGGGACTTAATTCAACTCTTTTTTTTGTTTTGTAATACCCCTAAAGTCAATCTTAGAAAAAAAATTTTTTTTTCAATCAAGCTATTCAACGTATTTCTAACTTAATTAATATCATAAACTGTTATTTTGTCAAAGTTATTAAAAAAAATAACTGTGCTCGGTAAAGAAATGTTAATTGGATAAATCTCCAATAGAGAAACGATAATCATGTTCAGCGGTGACTTTTCTTGCTAACTATGGACTTAATTGCCAAAAAAGGAAGTTTGGGGGTTGGATTGAGAAAACGATCTCTAAATCGCGTGACATTCCTATTTTTTAGTAATGGAAACTTTACTAATTACGTACTATATGTCTATTTCCAATTGGAGCGTGCAAACACGCGCAGAGGCGTCAACGAAACTCCTAAAGCTTTTACAGATGTTTTTTTGGGGGGGTAAATTACAAAATACTATTTTGTGTTCCAATTGGAAATGGACAAATAATACAAGTGCTAGTATAATTTCCTACTATGATTAAGCGTTATTAATAAAAAAAATTTGAGTTACAATTTATTTATATATAATTTTTACATATATTAATAAGATAAAAGATTTATTTATAGATAACTCTTATATATTATATTTATATAAAATTTTAATTATTTACCATTTTATTTTTAATAATTTAAATTTATCATAATTTTTTATATAAAAATAATTATTTTTAATAAATGTGAATTAATCTTAATTATTAAAAGAAAAAAATAAATAACTAAAATTTTATCTAAATATAATGAGTAAAATTTATGTGTAAATAAATTTATTATAATTTTTAAAATAAAAATAAAAATTATTTTTAAAAAATAATATAGAAATAAATAAATCATAACTATTTATATTGTGCAGTGAATTAAATGATCAAATCAACAAAATTCTATATAAATAAAACATAAAAATTGTGTGTAATGCATCATAACTTAAAAATATTTAATGAAAATTGGTACATCATAATCCTGCAAACTTAATTATTAGAATAAAAAACAGAAAGAGTACCAAACCTAACCGTTAAATCAATGGACAGCACAGTTAGTCTTCCCATTTAAGAAAAATGTTAGTTGAAGTTGGGCAGCAGATTGAGTGAGAAAGTGGCCAACTTCTTAATCATCATCATCAAGATCCAAAGTGCAAAAAAATTAAATTATAAATCCCAACAAAAGGTTAAAGGTAAGGAAGAAAGAAAGAAAAGTAAAATTCTGACAGGCAAGAAATCAGATTCAAAGTTCTAGAGAGAGAAAAACAGAACATGACATGAATAGTATTAAGACAGAACCAGAAACAAAAACACAAAAGCATGTAAGAAGATTACATTATGGATGCTGAATAGGAAGAACGAGGGAGGCTAGGGAAAGGGTCTAATTCTCTAGCTGCTGTAGCTGTCCTTCTGTTTGTGCTTTCTTCTTGGTACAGCTTTTTGAAGGTCTCCAATCTCCATATAAGGTATTTTATTTTATTTTTTCATGGATAAAGTTTTGGGTTTTTGTTAATTACTATGTTGGTTGGGATCAGGGTGATTATGTTCTTGGGAGGTGTAAATAAGTGTGGATCTTAAAAGTTGGGTTCTTTAAGGTTGTTTTCCTAATCAAAATCCTGTCTTTGGATCTCCAGTGTCTTTCAAAGTATCAGATGATGTTTTATTGAGAAATTATTGTCATTAAATTTCTCTGAGACTTTCTTCATTTTTGGTTTCTTTTCTGGGTTGAAATTAAATGCCATCAGAACCTGTAACATTCTAAAATTTAATTAAAATTAAGAAACAGTAGCCTTTCTCTCACTCTCCTTGTCTTGGTCTCTGGTGGTTTGAGTTGTTTGTGTAGGTTTTCATTTTCCTGGAAAAAAATTTTGCTCTCCAGAAGTCCTGATGGGCAATTCTCTGTTCAGAGAAACAGTATCTAGATTCTCAAGGATCAGTTATATATATATATATATTTTTTAATTGAGAAAACCTGATGAATCTTTGATTCATTTGTGTCTAACAAAATAATTTTGCTTTGGCTGTTCGTGCTTGTTTGTAATTTTAGGGTTTAATATCTTTTTTATTGGTAAGGGTTGGTGTGTATTTTGGACTGATGCGTTAGTTTTAACTGAATTCAATTAAAGAAAACAATTTTGGGTTAAAACCCGTTTGTTTAATTGGGTCAACTGAGAGCACAAAGGATGATTCCGGGTTTTCTTCTTGTCCTTTGTTCCTCCTGAGAGTATTCTTCTTCTTCTTCTCCTTGTCCTTCTCCATCTCCATGATGCTGTCCTGGTGGTCCGGCCTGTTCAGCAGTGATCTATGATTCTATTAGTATATATGCTCTTGCCTTAATTATCTTTAAGCCGCCTCCATGGATTTGCTTGTAGTTGTAGGTGTTGTTCCACTTGTTCTTATGAACTGCCAAGCCAATTTTGCCATGGAGCATAAAGATTGTGATAAATTGTATGCATCTTGTTCAGCTTATGTGCGGAAATATTGACATGTATGCTTGTAACTGCAGGTGTTGAATTATTTAGCTTAGTTCATTGTTCAGGTGGATATAGTAATGCTGGCAATATGGGAAAGAAAGGAAGTTGGTTTTCTGCAATCAAAAGAGTTTTCACATCACACTCTAAGGACAAGGTAAGCAACGTAAATTTGATACATTGACACTTGTTCAGTTGGACCCATTGTTGTATGTTACTGCCTCGGGACTCAAGATTGTGAACCTCTTCTAGTTATAGATGATTCTTTGTTGCTTCTCATGGCAAGCTCTCTTGCATGCAGATTCTGAAATATTACATTTAGTATTGTTGGTGTGCCTTTTTTCTGGAAATTTTTGAGAAAATGAAAAATTATCAGCCTTGGCTAGTGTTGCATGGACTATGGATTGCTCTTCCAAAATGATTCCAAGATAATAAGTGCTTTTTGGCTGTTGCTTTACAATGTTTTCAGGAATCTGATAAAAGAAGCAGCAAAGAAAAGAAGAAGAAGGGCCTAGGAAAACTAAAGCATGGGGAAAGCAATTCCTTCATTCCCCTCTTTAGGGAGCCTAGCAGTATTGAGAAAATTTTGGGGGAAGCTGAAAGGGAGCAAAAACTAGTGTTCAGACCTCCCACACCTCCAGAGCAACCCAGAACACCTCCTTTTGTGCCTAACAGAGCTGCTTCTCCACGTGTTCCTTCACAGAGGATTTCTTCTCCTAGGGTTGCTTCCCCAAGAGTCAGTTCTCCAAAGGTTGCTTCTCCTAAAGTTTCTTCTCCAAAGGCTGTTTCTCCACCTCGCAGGGCACCTTCTCCACCTACACGAGCTCCTCCTCCAAAAACAGCTTCTCCTAGGATCATTCGACCAAGACCAGAGCCAACTCTAAGGAACCAGCATGCTTCTGCTACAAAAATTCAAGCTGCATATAGAGCTTATATGGTAAGTGTTCATTTAAAGCACTGACTTTTCAAGTAGAATAATAATTGTGTTGTGCAAATTGAGTGCTTTAAGTGTTTGTGAGGATATTGATGTGGAAAGTTAACGGATCCCTTTCTATTCACATGCTCTGCCTTACTATTGAATCACGCCCCAGTTTTAGCATTATGGAACTTCTGGTACAGGCAAGAAGAAGCTTTAGAGCATTGAAGGGTCTTGTGAGGCTCCAAGGAGTGGTGAGAGGACAGAATGTGAAGCGTCAGACTATGAATGCGATGAAATACATGCAGCTCTTGGTGAGGGTTCAGTCACAGATTCAATCACGCAGGATTCAGATGTTAGAAAACCAAGCACGACGTCAGGCTATGAATAAGGATGCAGAGAGCACCTTGAGCAAATGGGCAGTAAGTATCCCAATGTTTGTTTATGAACTATTACAATATTGGTTAACTAGCTGTGAGTTGTCAAACCAACAGAAATTGCCTGTTAAACCCATTTTTTCACATTTTGGAAGCTTGATTTAATTATTTCAGTAGTTCAATTTGGCTAGCAGAAAGGCACATTTTTTTGACTCTGCCTGTGATTATGACTTGCCAATCTGATGGATGAACTCTTTACCTTTCTGATCCTTAAAATTAATCAGTTGGGAATCTTGCTGCACTTCCTTACATGATAGAACACTTCCTTATGGTACTTACATAGTATACATTGAGGAAATGCATTTCACCTATCACTTCCAAAGTCACACACCTACTTAGTGAGCTCAATGAAACTGAGGACCATCTTTGCTGCATATATATTTACTCTTTATTCTCTCATTAATACAATAGCATTAATTGGCTGAAAAAAATGGGGTCAGTCTGAGACAGGTAATGAAAACTGGGATGATAGCTTGTTGACAAAGGAGGAAAGAGAGGCAAGGATGCAAAGAAAGGTGGAGGCAATTATCAAGAGAGAGAGAGCCATGGCCTATGCATATTCTCACCAGGTATGTACTCTATCTGTGGTATCCAAAACTAGATTTAATTTCATTATGTTGGCTGCCATTCTAGCAATTGATTATGTATGCCATTTCTGAGAAGTATATTTTTCATTTCAATCTCCCTACTGGCAGTTGTGGAAAGCAACTCCAAAATCAGCTCAAAATGCTCTATCAGACATCCGATCTGGTGCATTTCCATGGTGGTGGAACTGGTTAGAACGCCAGCTGCCTCCAGCCAATCCTTCTGAAAGCCAAGGCATGAAGAATTTCCAACTTACACCACCAAGGCCAAACTCTGAGCTCAAACCTAGTCCAAGGCCAGCATCAAGCACCAAGCAACATCCCTTTGGATTTGACATAATGGACATTTCTACACCAACATCTACAAAATCAACCATATTACCAGCAACAAAGCACTTGCGAACCCCACCTCCACCTAGACTCTCACAAGGGAACAGCTCCAGTTTGCCAAAGTACTCAAGACCAAGAGCTAGTGGAGCTGATTCTCCATTTGACTTGTCACTGAGGGATGATGATAGCCTCACCAGCTGCCCACCGTTCTCAGTTCCCAACTACATGACTCCTACAGTTTCCGCGAAAGCCAAAGTCAGACCTAGCAGCATTCCAAAAGAGAGATATCTGGGGACCCCAAGCAGTGAGTCAAAGAGGAGGCTTTCTTTTCCCTTGACACAAGGTATTGGATCTTTCAAGTGGAACAAAGGGTCCTTCTTCTCAGGCAAGAAGGATTCTAGTTCTCAAAGAGGCTTGGATAAGCGCCAGTCACTTCAATCTATAGGCAATTTGAGTGTGGATTCAACTGTTTCTATGCCTGCTACAGTTGGAAGGAAGCCATTTAACAGATTTGTGTGATTTATTTTTCCATTTTGTTAACCTTCTTTTTTTTTTTTTCTTCATTTTGATGTTTTTTCCTACTTGAGTGTATGGTGATATGTTGGTTTACAAAATTACTGATGTAAAATAAAAAAAGAAAAAAAAAAAGAAAAAAGGGAAAAAACAATAGGAAGTGGTGGTTTGTATGTAACAGGATTTGGGTTTTTTAAAAAACAGTGATTAATTCTTTTTTTCCCCCCTTTATTTGGTATTTCGGTTCTAATATATAATTCCATCCCATGTGGTATCTTCATTTTTTTTTTCTTTTTCTGAAGGGCAGGAAGCCCAGGAATTTTGTGTTATTTGCCATGGAAACTTATAGAGGCCGGAACTATAAGAACCAAGAAAACAAATGCTCTTTCATTTAGTTGGATTTTCAAGAGAGCACTCTGAATTCATAAAACACATCATATGACATTTCTTTTCTAATTTATGTTTCATATGCATGGATTAATGGTATAATAAATATATTATTTTATAATAAAATTATATAAAAATTATAAAAGTTAATATTTATTTTAACAATCACATAAATGATTTTAATTGCTTAATTAATTAAATCAAATTTGGTATTTACACTTTTAATATACATTAATTATTAAATAGTATATTTATTTTACTATTAATTTATACTACAAACATAAGATAAGTACATCGTTCTTCTTATTATTAATTAATAGTAGTTTAGGGAGCTCCCCCCCACCCCTTCTCTTCACCATCCTATGCACATGATGTGACAAATGAATTCAATCATACAGGACCCCGTTCTTAGAGGGTGTTATTGAACATGTGATCTTAAGATAAGAAGTCATATAATAGAAAATAATACCTTTTTTTTTTTCACTTCCCTTCAACTTAGGATTTAAATTAAAAGATGCTGTTAATAATTTAAAATTTTTAATAATATTTTTTTTATTAAAAATAATATATTTTTAATTTAAATCACATGATATATGAGTGAAATGAGTTAAAAAATAAAGAAAAACTATCTCATATTATATAATTTAAGATAAAGAAAAAAAAAAAGAAGAAGTTAAAAGATGTTATGTTGGGACAGAAATGAAATGGTGTGGGGAGTGTTGAGCTTGCCATGCAATGATGCAATGAAGCAATGAAGTGAGGCTGCCAAGTAAGTAAAATACTTGATGGGAATTCAGAAGGGCCTAGTCTCTTCATTCTGTCCTCCAACACTTGCCTACCCATAGATAATGCTCTGTTCAATTTTTGCTATGACAGGTTGACAACAATATTCTCATGTACTTGGTCTCCAGTCCCATTTTGCCCCTTAGTTTCTTTCAAATTCACATTGGACAAAACCCCAAAGTTGAACATAAAAATTAAAGGTTAAACCCTAATTTTGGTCCCTCAACTATTGTAAAGACTTTTGAGTTGGTTCCTAAAATAAAAAATTTCCTAATTTGGTCTTTAAAACTTTCAAATTTGACTCTAAGTTGATCTTTCCATTAAAAAACATTAAATATGTCTATTATTTAATGGTAGAAGGTCGTTCTTTGATGATCACATATCATGCTAGTAATAGGACATGTTGGTTATTTTTTAATAGAAAAACTAATTTAGAGTTAAAATTGAAAACTTTAAGGATTAAATTAAATATATTTTTAGTTTATGGACCAATTTAAGGGTCATACAATAATTGAAAGACCAAGTTAAGGGTTTAACGTATATTAAACCCTTAGGAAATGAAGCCCAAACGCCGTCTCAATTGGTACAATGGCTTGACACTAATTTGGAAATTTCACATAAATAAGATTTATAAAAACAAGAGGAGAATAATATTTTGAAATTAAAATTATAATAGAACACATCTAATTACAAAATAATAATTTTGATATAAATGAGATTCCTGTGGAAGTTGCATTTATAAAAAGAGCGATGAATCATTTAGTGTTTAATATAACTTGAAAAGACGATGTATCATTTAGTATTTAATGTAACTTCAAATTATCAAAATAATAATTTTGATATAAATGAGATTCATGTAAAAGTTGCATCTATAAAAAAGCAACTAATCGTTTAGTGCTTAATGTAATTTGAAAACATGACATATTGTTTAATATTTAATGTAACTTAAAAGAATTACGTATCATTTAGTATTTAATATAATTTAAAATTATTAAAATAATAATTTTGATATAAATGAGATCTACGTGGAAGTTGCATCTATAAAAAGGCGGTGTGTCGTTTAGTATTTAATATAATTTAAAAGATGACATATCATTTAGTATTTAATGTAATTTGAAAAAGTATTTTATCGTTTAGTATTTAATATAATTTGAAATTGTCAAAATAATAATTTTGATATAAATGAGTTTCACGTGAAAGTTACGTCTATAAAAAGACAGCATACTGTTTACGTATATAACTTGAAATTTAAGGTCGTTTTCTTTCTCTTTAAATACTCATAAAAGATTTTTTACTTTATGTTTTTAAGGTAGAAAATAATGTATTTTTTAATATTAATTAATATTAAAATGTAAAAATTAACATTAATTCCACATTTAATACCATCTAAATTATTTTAATTGAATACTCTTTGATTAAATGAATATTAAATTTTACTTTTCAATATCAATTAATAAATGTATAACACGCAAGTCAAAAAAATTCGTCAATCGGACTTGTGGTCCAATTGGTTGGCCCCAAGCTTTAGGGTTTGGGTGAGGCGGAGGTCAGGCTTTGAGATCTGTCACCGTCACGAACTCGACCAACTTGCAATCTAATGGTCGCGCGCTTCAAATAAGGGGGTAAAAGGTTCATTTTTCTGAAAAAATTTCAGTTGCTAACAAACTAATTCTACGAACTTCCTAACCATCTAACTGGTCAAAAAAAAAAAAAAGTCAAAAAAATTCAAAAATAAATCTCATAAAAAGAAGAAAAAAGAAAAGAAAAAAGAAGAAGTTAGGAGCATTTATGTAATTGTCCGCATAAATTGTGGTGGTCTCGATTGGTTGTCTCTTTCGTTCAGCCTACAAATACCGTCTTCTCTTCTGTGGAGGACAGTGAACCGAAAGCTCCGAAGAAAGCAAAGACGGGAAGCCAACTTCCAACAGAGAACCAAAAATGGCTCTCAAATTCAACATCTCCTTTCAATCCCAGAAACTGCCTTCTTTCGCTCTTCCTCCCATGGCCAGTGTCAGATCTTCCAAGTTCGTCATGGCCTCCACGCTCCGCTCTGGCTCCAAGTGAGTTTTTCTTCCATTTCCTTTTCTGGGTGCATTAATCCAGTGTTGTAGCTATAAGTTCTTTGTTCTATCATGGATCTTCACTTCGGGGTATTGGGTTTTGGACTTTTAGCTGATTTTGCGATCTTGGTCTTAGTTTGTATCGACTTTGATATTGCTTATAACTAGTTTATTCCATGTGGGTACCTTGTTATCTTCTTGTTTAGGTCTGAAATGCAGTTCCTTTGCATTTGGGTATTTGATTTTGATATGCGTATAATTGTTATATGGTTCAGTTCTTCTTATCACGGCTGCTTTTTATTTGTCATTGTATTAATTTAAGTTCAATGTGATACCAAAACATTTGTTTGGATAACTCGATGTCCCTCTAGGTAGCTCCCTTGCAATTTTTGTTTTTGATAATCATTATGTAGCTTGTTATTACAATTATGATTTTGAGGGGCAGATTCTATTTTTTCTTATGAGTTCATTCCTTCCACTTTGTGAATGCAATTAAAAAGTTCTTTGGTCTCTTTTAATTCAATGAGGAATGGTCTAAGGACCATATTTAATAAGTTGGTGATCGTTTTTGTTTTTGCTACTTACATTTTTGTGGAGGTCTTTTTATTGTTATTTGAGGTGGGTTTGATTCTATGATTTTTGTATTGGATTTGTTTAAGGGCACATGTTAAAGGTGCATTAGTTGAATTTTTTTTTTTTCTATTTATTTGTATAGGATAAGCTAAATTTATTTTCAATGCCAATTACACTTTTTTTTTTTTCGATGGAACCAATGACATGATTTTAATCGTGTGGTTGATAAAATTGAAATCAATTTTTAATTTTCCATAACAATTAATGAAAAAAAAGGTGCAATAAATGCACCTGTAGGTACATTTAGAAGCCAATCACATGATTTTAATGGTGTAGTTGATAAAATTGAAATCAATTTTTAATTTTTCATAACACTTTACGAGGAAAAAAAGTGCAATAAATGTACCCGTACGGACATGTTAGAAAAACTCTTTTGTAATAGGGATAGCTTCTTGCCAAGTGCCTTTCGCCTTCCCTTAATACGTTATTACTACTCCGACTATGTCATACTTATTAGGTTGTTGGGATTCCCTTTTGCATTTCTTGGTTTGAAAATTTAATGCTTGAACTCTTCTTTGATTATGACTGTCTCTATCTTGCTTGGTGGGTTTGGGGGTGGTTACTGGTTAGGATATTAATCACTGGGATACTCTTTCAAATTCCTTTGGTTTTCAATTTTAGTGCTTGGAATCTTCTTTATCATAAGTGTCTCTATCTTGCTTGTTGGGGTTGAGAGTGGTTAGGATATTAAAATTTTCCAATAAAATATACATTACTTCAAACCTCGTGAATTTTCTTTGCAACATGATTTTTATTTATTGTTATCTGGTTAATTTTTCTTGGGAAAATGCAGACTCCATTAATTTCAAATGTGCTGAATTTTCTTTCAACTTTTGTAATCTGACTCTGTCAAGATGGTTGAATCTATATGTTGAAAAGAGTACTGAAGTTGGTAGAAGTGGTTCAGATTCTCTTGGATACTAGTTCACTCTTTTGGAAAGACTTTTGTTATTAAATATATTCTGTAGGAAGTGGCAGTTGTTTATTTGACGTTGATTTTTACTTCTAGACATTTATCTGTTATACTACATCCACGGGTCATTACGGTGCTTTTAGTTCTCATTCATTGTGCTTTTGATGATGGTACTTTATTAAATGCCAAGGAAATTTAGTCTGCGTGTCTAATTAGCCAATACATGGATTATTATGCATAAATTATATAACTGGTTGTTGTGTAGTGGGATATCCATATCCCATTGGTCGCTCTTTAAATTGTCCTGATGTACCTTAGTAGAGGTCTATGTATCCAGATCTTAAATGTAAGAATGTAACCATTAATTATTTTGCTGAATGCAGAGAGGTTGACAATCTGAAAAAACCTTTCATGCCTCCTCGGGAGGTGCATGTTCAGGTCACACACTCCATGCCACCACAGAAGATTGAGATCTTTAAATCTTTGGAGGATTGGGCTGAGAACAACATTTTGGTTCACCTAAAACCGGTTGAAAAATGTTGGCAACCACAGGATTTTCTGCCAGATCCTGCTTCTGATGGATTTGATGAGCAAGTCAGGGAATTAAGAGCGAGGGCAAAGGAGATTCCGGATGATTACTTTCTTGTTTTGGTTGGAGATATGATCACAGAAGAAGCTCTTCCAACTTACCAAACAATGCTCAATACGTTAGATGGTGTTCGGGATGAAACAGGTGCAAGCCCTACTTCTTGGGCAATATGGACAAGGGCATGGACAGCTGAAGAGAATAGGCACGGTGACCTACTTAATAAGTATCTATACTTGTCTGGACGAGTAGACATGAGGCAAATTGAGAAGACAATTCAGTATTTGATTGGGTCAGGGATGGTAAGATCCCTGTTTTTCTCTATTGGTAGTTCAAGTTAGAGATTCACAAATACTTGACACATGCATGAATTTATTGGATCCTTGTATTTTATATAATTTTTTCATAGTTTACAAAAATGACAACTACAATTTCAAACAGTCTTAGTTTTGTTTTCTTGAAGTCGTTAGCAGAGGCTAACTATTCTATTCTGAAATTTTAAAATTGCAGGATCCCCGTACAGAAAACAGTCCATATCTTGGTTTCATCTACACTTCATTCCAAGAAAGGGCAACCTTTATTTCCCATGGAAATACAGCCAGGCTTGCCAAGGAACATGGGGATTTCAAGTTGGCTCAAATATGTGGCACTATTGCCTCAGATGAGAAGCGCCATGAGACTGCCTATACTAAAATAGTGGAAAAGCTCTTTGAGATTGATCCTGATGGAACTGTTCTTGCCTTTGCTGACATGATGAGGAAGAAAATCTCTATGCCAGCGCACTTGATGTATGATGGCCGTGATGACAACCTTTTCGAGCACTTCTCTGCTGTTGCTCAAAGACTTGGGGTCTATACTGCCAAGGACTATGCAGACATACTAGAGTTCCTGGTGGAAAGATGGAAGGTGAAGGATCTAACTGGACTCTCAGGTGAGGGACGAAAAGCACAGGACTATGTTTGTGGACTGCCTCCAAGGATTAGAAAGCTGGAGGAGCGAGCTCAAGGAAGAGCCAAGCAAGGCCCCAGAATTCCATTCAGTTGGATTTATGACCGTGAAGTGCAGCTCTAGGGTCAGTAATTATCCAAGCTGCTAATTGTACTCTCCCACAGGTCTCTGGCCATTGTGAGGGTTAACACAGCTGGAATGATGAAGTTGCAATTCCAATTTGCCATCCCACTTGTAAGTGTGGGCGCAGTGTAGATTCTGTTGTTTCTCCTCTTTGTCAGTTTTGTGTGTTGTTGTTAGATAATGCAGTTAGTGGCAGCTGTTGTTTTTGATGTTGTGTTTTTTTAGATAAGAGTCAGCTTTGTACGAGTTCTGTTCCTTCCTATAGTCAATTTTTGAGGGACAACAGCATATGGCAATTTATTACTACTGTCTTCTCAAGAATTTCAATTTTATATAAGGGCCTGTGTTTTGCACCATAAATGTACTTTTTATATAAGAAAAATAAAAGTTAATTTTTATTTAATTTGTTGGAGAAGAACAGAAAAATGAAAATAGATAACAAAGTGATTGAGAAGTAAAAAGATAACTTTCTGAATACTTAAATTCATTGAAAAAACATACAAATATATACTGGAACTCTAAGTAGTGGGATTGTAACATGATATCTACGTACTGTACTTTAACTAAAATTATGAGTTAAACTAACTCAACAAATAATCCTAAAAAATAGCAACTATCCCACTCTTTCTGAAGAAAAATAGGAAGGCTTATTCAAACTAAATAACAAATTAGATAAAGACAATAACCACGTTTGCATCAATTTTCAACATAATTAATTGTTTAATTAAAACAATTAATTAATAGTGAAATTAAGATGAGTTTCTCTAACTTGTACAATTAGGATATAGGTTAAGGGTTTTAACAAAATAAAAAGTAACATTTGATTTATTAATTATTTAATTAAATTTATTCATGTGTTATTATTTTAAAATTAATGTTTATTTTTTTATTTTTTATATCAATTTATTACAAAAAAAATATTCTTAATATGTACTCTTAAAATATAAATTAAAAAAAATCCAATTAAGATTAATTTTTGTATTTTTTATACAAATTAATTGCGATAATTTTAGCAAATGTTCTTCATGGCGCCTGGCGGGGCTGCAATGAAGATCATGGGCTGGCCCAAACTCCTTAACTCATTCTCGGACATCCAGTCCAAGGATAATAATCCCTTTCCTTGAGGCACGTGCACTACAGGCTTCCGTGTGGAGCTTTTAAAAAAAGTCCAATGCGAAATTTAGGTACTGTTTGTGTTTGAGGTTATCATCTCATACTTTTTTTTCACAGTATTTTATAAAAATATTAATTTATATAATTAAATTAATTTTAATTAATATTTTATACAATTTTATGACCATATATTAATGTATAAGACTTTTAAAAGTAATTATAAAATAATAACATAATTTTTCTTATAATAAAATACTAAAAAACTCATACTTACATCAATTTACAACAATTCTAAACACATCTTTAATTTGTAAATTTTTAATTTTAAATAATTTTAATAAAATCAAATAATTTAATCTTCAAACTAGTTTTTCCTTGAAACAGTTCTTTATCATTGTTGATGTAAAAATGGCAGTTGGTGATTTTGGTTGTTAGCATTAAATCTTTATCTTCAATAAACATAATTTTCTATAAA